GGTCCAATACGTTGTGCTGTACCCTTCCCCCCACGCAATGGCCACTGCAACGGTGGCCACTGAGCAGGCACTCCAGTGATGCCTTACAGGGATTTAATCTCCTTTCCAGACCTGGGGGGGGGGGGGGACACTCTGGGTTTCTTTTGACCGGGTGGCTTGTGTTTTGAAGAAAACAAAGTATGGTGTCCTGATAAGTATGTGGACTATTACCCACCTTCTCCAACGAGTACCCTGCTTATTTCTGAAAGCCCTTCTAGCCACAGAATAAAACTGTAGTGACCCATGTAGAAAGTCTCCTTTAAAAAGGCTCGTGACTATCAAGGATCTCTTCCTTATAAGCAGAATAAACAATTTAAACTGGCACATAACAATACAATAATGTGTATTTACATTTGAACTAAGACAACACTAGTGTTCTGGAACTAGAATCGCACAATGAGGAAACTGCTCTAACGTTCTAACCCACTACCTTGTTTATTCTGACATCACTTCAAGAACTCTCCCACTTTCAGCTCAAGTCTCAGCACAGTTGGGATTCAGGCATAAAGAGTGACACAAACACACATATACACACATATATACACAGGCACATGCACACACACACACACTTGAGTTAAAATTTTTTATGTCAACAAAGTGAACTTTGTCACAAAGAAGTAACAAGGGAAATAACAAAATTAATATTTTTCTAACTTAAATCTTGAACTCAGATCTTTCCAAGTCCAATCTTAGAATTAGTATTAAGACTTGTGGGCTCTAAAAATCTTTCAACATGATGATTCTAGAATAAAAATTTTAGCCTTATGTGGGTAAAAGATGGACCAGAGAGACACACAAGAGGAGTTTAACTGAAGCACTCCCATTCTTAGTGTTTTTTTTTTTTTACTGGTTTTTTTTTTGATAGGCAGAGTGGACAGTGAGAGAGAGACAGAGAGAAAGGTCTTCCTTCCGTTGGTTCACCCCTCAGTGGCCACTGCGGCCGGCGTGCTGCGGCTGGCACACCCCGCTGATCCAAAGGCAGGAGCCAGGTGCCTCTCCCGGTCTCCTATGCGGGTGCAGGGCCCAAGCACTTGGGCCATCCTCCACTGCACTCCCGGGCCACAGCAGAGAGCTGGACTGGAAGAGGAGCAACCGGGACAGAATCCGGCACCCCAAATGGGACTAGAACCCGGTGTGCCAGCGCCGCAGGTGGAGGATTAGCCTATTGAGCCATGGCGCCGGCCCTTAGTGTTCTTTTGATCATGCAAAGAGTTGTAAAGAAATACTCTGCCTTGGTGGTAGAAAGAAGCTGTTGATATATTTTAGCTAATGTCAAGTCCATAGCTGCCTTTCATAGGAAATATGTAATTAGTTACTTTTTTGACTCAATGTGGGTTTAACAAACCCCCCATGCCCCTAGGATTCAACTCCTTGGAAAAGAAATGATTTCTTTGGGGTACAAAAAAACTGGTCCTTTTGAAATGGTCACGGCAGAAACCATTATCCAATCAAAGAACCTCACATCAGCATTCCCAGTAGGGCCACAGATACACCAGTAAAGATACCAAAAACGTCCACCACCCTGACACCTTTCATCATCAAGTCACAAGATTCTCCAGGGAAGAGGGTCGTGAAATTACCTAATTACATAATTGCTCTTCCGAATTCACAAACGTTCTCTTGTGGTTTAAGATAAACTAGTGATTGCTGATTCTTCCTGCACACAAATAACCTTTTGTGACCAAGGCTGCAGAAAAATTAACTCCTCTCTTGGTTGTGCAGCCTCCAGATTTTGGTTATTACTTTCAGAGATGACTTTTCAATGGAAGTGCCTCCCACCTTCTATTTTCTTGGTGTTTCCAAGTTTTTGTACCCACGATCATGACATGGTCATAGCTTTGATGGTGGGAGGGAAGGTACACTCTCTTATGCTCAGTCATCTACCTATTGCACTGTTGCTGTACTATAACAAGGGCTTTCAATACAACTGCATGATCAACTGTTAGTCCTGGTGGGCATCTGAGAACCAGGAACACAGGAACCTTCAAGGTGCTTTCCTCCCAGCACAGGATCATAGCTACGTGTGGAGGTCAGGCTTCCAGACTCCTCTTGATCCACTCTAATCGTTTTTTATATGCGTGGCTGTTTAAACCTCATGTGAGTTCAGCTGAAATTTAGGTGATCATTGTGGGTCTGCTGAAAATTCTTACACAGAGAGACTCATGTGGGACAATAGGACATGCTGTTGACCAGACGAACTGAAGCTTTGCAGATCAAACTCTACAAGGGAAGGGATGTGCATCCAGATTTCTTGATTTCTTCATCTCTATCTGCCGTGAGAATCCACTTTCTCATGGGAGCCTAGGGCTCTGAGTGTAGAGCCGTCACTGGTGCCATGTTGATCTGTTACTATGGAGATCACTCTGGTAACATACAAACCTGCCACCAGTCCAGACACACAAGTATCTCATTCTGACTCCCAGAAGGTTTCTCTGCCCTCTACTCCCACCAGCTTAAAGTTCATCTCTGCTGGGATTTAGTTCTGAAGTGTTAAGAGTTTGACTTTTAAATGCCATTAAAAGCATGCCTACTCAGAGGCAAAGGGGAGGCACTGCAAAGGCATCTCTAGATTTTCAAGCAACAAAGTCCTTGTGGAGCAATGGCTCCCGAGGTGAGGGTGATGCACTCAGTTACTCCTGGACAAGGAACTAAAAGGAAGAGGCAGCAGGGAGTCAGCCCTGGAATTAGCGCTTCCCCCTTCCTCATTATCCACAGTGCATTGTTAATTCAGCATCCACATCACTGCTGTGAAACATTAAAGCATTCGTTGGTGTTCATCCCCATGAAATGCTGCTCCATTTTCTGAAACTGGAGTTCCTGTATGTGGCAGGTCGATGGCAGTGCTGTCACAATCAGTCTCCCACAGGAGAAGACAAATAGGCTTGATGTGGGTCATGAGATAAAACACGTCAGAGTCATCCGGGTCTTGTGCAAGTCTACCGGCTCACTCGGGAGGGTGCAATGTAGATACTGCTTCATCCTTCTTTAGAGAAATCGAAACGACTTACTTTGCCAGGGTCCTTAATGCCTTCTAGAAAAGTTCTATTTTTTCTCAGCTTTAAATTATTTGCTTGAGAGGGAAAGGGAGAGACAGCCCCCTACCAGTGCTGGTTCAGGGAAAGGGAGAGACAGCCCCCTACCAGTGCTGGTTCAGGGAAAGGGAGAAACAGCCCCCTACCAGTGCTGGTTCACTCACCAAATGCTCAACATGGCTGGCGCTAGACAGGGCCAAACCTAGGGAGCCAGGAACTCAATCCAGGTCCCCTAGGTGGATCCTACTAGGATCCTACTAGGAGCCATCACTACTGTCTCCCAGGGTCTGCATTAGCAGGAAGCTGGAGTCAGGAGCGAAACTGGGTGCTGAACCCAAGTACTCCTAGGTGGGCAAGGGAGTCATACCCACCAGGCCAAATGTCTGTCTCAGAGAAGGTCTTTTCATTTCTCCTAGATCTTAAAGTGTTGGAAGAAGGCAATGAGGGCAAGGAGGGAGAAGCTATGGTCTGAGAAAGCAAGTCTGTCATCAGGTTGAGAATAGTGACACTGCCCCTCCCTGTTAGGAATCCCAGGATTTGTGGAAGGAAGGTTAGAACCACCATCTTTATGCCAAACAGAGACATAAAGTTCTCTGGTTTCCTTTAAGATGGGCATAGGGAACTCCAGCATTCAGCAAGTGTGAAATGAACAAAGGACACAGGACTTCTTTTCTCCGCATGTCCCAAGAACCTGGGCCACTATCTCCAGTCCCTCAGCCTCTCTGTGGGGCTGGGAAACTGTCAGGCACGTGACAAGCTGCTGTCAATTCCCAGCATCCACGGCCTAGGGCTCTACTTTGGGGACCTCACAGCCAAGGCAGGGAAGGGGCAGCTTCTCCCTGGTTTCCCTACAGGTCTCCCTGCTGCTTACTTGAATTTTGCATAACACCATCACCTGTGTCTGAAGAGCAGGGACTACTGGGAAGAAGATGAAACTCAAACTCACTTGTTACTATCTTTTTTTTTTTTTTTAATTGAAAGGAAGAGACATTGACTTCTACCCACCTGTCAGTCATCCCCCACCCCCAGCACCTCTTCAACTCCTGTAATTCCTCCACTACTACAACCCTGCTCCTGACACAGTCTCCAGGTCTGGGTAAGAAAACACCCAAGGAATCACAGGATTGGGGAACAGGAAACTGCACTTCCATTTCTGACTGCAAACTATCCACCACCTCCCTTCTTAGCTGCAAACAAAACAAAATAATCAACCAACCAACCCCTTCCACCTCCTCTGCCTTCTCCTCACCAGAGGAGGAAAGGAGCAAATGAAAGACCAGATCTGGTCACGGTGGTTCAATAGTACTTTTTTTCCTCACCTTAAGCCCAAATGGGAAATACAAAGTGATGAAGGAAAGCAATTTTTTAAGAAGACCCATTTGCAGGTCGGCGCCGCAGCTCACTAGGCTAATCCTCCGCCTGCAGCGCCAGCACACTGGGTTCTAGTCCTGGTTGGGGCGCTGGATTCTGTCCTGGTTGCTCCTCTTTCAGTCCAGCTCTTTGCTGTGGCCCAGGAAGGCAGAGGAGGATAGCCCAGGTCCTTGGGCCCTGCACCCGCATGGGAGACCAGGAGGAAGCACCTGGCTCCTGGCTTCAGATCAGCACAATGCGCCAGCCACAGCACGCTGGCCGTAGCGGCCATTTGGGGGGTGAACCAACAGAAGGAAGACATTTCTCTCTGTCTCTCTCTCTCTCACTGTCCACTCTGCCTCTCTCTCACTGTCCACTCTGCCTGTCAAAAAAAAAAAGAAGAAGAAGAAGAAGAAGACCCCATTGGTTGCTGGAGGCCAATGAAAGATTAAAGGGAGAGATTAAGTTTCTCTACAGGAGAAATGAAACCACCTCTCCCGTTGCTATGAACTCAAAGTGATACCTATGTAGTGTTTTTGCCACACATGTCAAAGAAGAACTTAGTCCTGTGAGTCTTACAATTAGGTGCCATCAGAATCCTCCTTTTCTCATCAGATCTCCTGGTTGTTTTCTGTGCTTTAAATAAAAGTGAAGTGAAGAAATATTTTGGCCTTGATTGAAAAACAGTCTTGAAAGTCTACATTCGACAGGGAAGAAAAAAAATGAGATTAAAAATGGGAATGAGGAAGAAAAATTAATTCCAAAGCAATATGCTATCATCAAGTAAGTGAAAAATAATAAAACTTTGGACTTAAACAATCAGGCATATACCAAGAGCTTACTTGTACTTAGGACAGCTCATAAAGTCAAACACAGAATGAAGGCTAAATGTACATCCTGTGGAGAGTTATACTATGTCCTTGTGGGTTCTGGATATTTACCTCCTATAATTACCGTTCTACCAGTACAGCAGATCCTCAATAGACACTGGTTTTGGTGAATGATTACCCAAGTTTTTGTCTTCTCGACTCAGTTATTTGTAGCACTGAGTATAGTGGTTCTTCACTGGATGCTTGTTGAACAGAACAAGATCTGAATTTTCATTAGGACAAGCCCAGGAAGCCACAAAGTATATTCCCAAGGAATTTCCCAAAGGAAAGGGTTTAACAGGTGCCAGCGACATTCCTATCTATGTGGAATATGGTCAGATCTCTGAAGCACAAGGTCCAGCCAGAGCTGAGGATCTAGGCCATGTCAGCCCCAGGACAGCCAGCATAGACTCTACCCAGAGGCAGGAGTGGCAGTGCTCAGCGTATTTCAGGCATGTTGTTTTCCTGCCATTACAAGGGTATAATGACTATGAAGTTAGTTATATTTCTTTTCAGGGGGCCTGGGATGATTTGACTTCACTTCGCAGCATTGATTTCCTAACAACACAGACAGGATGCACTGATTCTCCAAAGTAGCTAGACATGGGTTCAAATTCTGTCTCTACCACCAGCCCGTTCTGTGGCTGTGAGCAAAGTACTGAACATTTCCAAGGCCCAGTTTCTGTATATGTGAAGATTTTATCACTTGCTTGCCAGACTTGTTGAGAGGATGAAATTAATGAGGCAATTCATTAAAACACCAGTACACAGCCACTAGTTGTATACATCCGATAAACTGTGATCATATACATGGTATCTGATTTTTCTGCTATTGCAGTTCTCTCAAATCAAAGAGTGTGTGCTTTGAGGCAAAAATCAGAGAGAACCCTTTACTAAGATGAATTAGAAATGAGAGGAAAAATGTAACCGTTCTCAAATCATATATCAGCACGTAATAAAATCTCCAGGCAAAACCAGTCAACACTGGGCTGGATCATAGAAGCCTATTTAGACAAAGAAATCCATAACAGAATGACTTAATTGAACAACCACTTGGAGAAATCTTGAGCGTCCCATGGAACAGGTCGAGAAGGTAAACCAAAGCCCTGAGACAGCTTTTCTTGATGAAACTGCCACACTCAACCCAGGAACCCAGTCCTTTTCATGTCAGCACTGCTCAGAATTCCCCCAAACTGCTCCAGCTGACACATCGGTAAGCAACCATGTTTCCCGTTTATACCAGATATATTAAGAAAAGAGCCCGTCTTTATGATGCGGTCTTCCTTATCAGGCAAGCTGTGATAGAGTGAATATTTCTTCCCTTCTCTTTAGAATCAATTCTGTAAACAACAGCAAAAGCCAGGGGCCTCTCAAAATTGATTACAGAATGTTCAAGTTGGACAGTTTATTAAAATGACAGACTTTGAGCTCTTCCAATTTTACAGGAGAGCAACTAGGGTTCATGGAGGTTAAACGGTTCCCCCTACACCACAGAGCTATTGAGCCACAGCCGGGAAAGAGCACTGGCCTCCTGTCACCAAGTCAACACTTTCTCTGCTACTTCACACGGTTGCTTGCGGCTTCACACTTTCTTTGTTCTCTCCCACCAAGCCCAGCCAGGCTGCATACCTAGAAAAGCTCTAATAAATATTTGCGGTATTGATCTGCAGATTCGACAGTTCTGCCACCTCAGGCCAATACTGTATTTCAGTCCCAAAGATCCCAATCATTTAATAACAAGTGTGCACAGGCTTTAGAGGAGTTGACCAAGAGTTTTTGAAATCACAACCAAATTTCCTCACAACAACAGGGAAAAGGTACTGCCATATCCATTTTGGAGGTAAGGAAAGCAAAGTCAAGATGCTAAGTGATTTGTTCAAGGTTACAATGCCAGTTGTGCGTACCTGGAGCTGGCATGTGAATTTAGACATCAGATCCCCAATCAGCCTTTTCTGCTTCATAAACCCACGCCAGATTTAACAGCAGTTGTCCTCAAATACTGCCCCAAAAGATAATTCATTCATTTTCCTATTCTGTTCCATCACAAAAAACCTTGAGGCTCTTTGTGTTAATTAAAAAAAAAAAAAAAAAGGCAGACTAAGCTGTATCAGATGACATGAGGGGTCTTGAGAAAAAGTTCATGGAAAGAACCTTTTATGTTAAAAAACCATACACGGATTTCACAAACTCTTGGCACCAACATAGACACAACTTTTCCCTCCATGTCCATGAACTGTTTGAAGCCCCCTGGGATGTGCAGGTCCAAGAACACCACCTGCCCGACAGCCTGCAGCACTCCCTCAGCAAAGCCAAGGCTTCAGGCGTGCTGCCGTGACCAGAACAGCAGTGCGTGCACTGTCTCGGGTTTTACAGGATGACCCACCCCCACGCACACACTGCTGAAGACACTGGCAATCCTTGCTGTATGTCCAAAGGGGAAGGAGAGAGGTCATTTCTGTGAGTCCTGGCAGCGTGAGGCTGCAACGTAACGATCAGGCCCCTGCGGAGGGCAGCAATGGGCAGAGCCACAAGGAAAGGCAGCGAGAGTGCACTCCCAGCCTCGTGGCCAGCTGCTCCGGGAGCTGTTAAAAGATGGGGCTGGTGGCAGCTAACGGGGGTGGGGGCTGGGGGGGGGGGGAGAATGAGGAAGGCTGGGAAGGAAGGTGTAGGGGGACAGATCTAATCCGGCGCACAGAAACCTGTCAGGATGGGATTTATTTTTGTTCTGTGAGGGAGTATAACAGGGCTTTGCCTGCGCTCTCAATGGCTGTTTTGAAGTGAACCCGGCTGGTATGTCTTTAATTTGTCATTTCATTATGAAACTGTTTCCCTTCCAAGAAGCCTTCAAGTCAGGAAGCTCCGTCTGCCCACACAGGAAATTCCTTTGCTGCAACTTCCCCAAAAAGGAAATTTCCCTCAGAAGCGAGCCCAGCATATGCCTCTGAGCGGCGCGGTCTCAAGAAACTTTGGCAGCCGAGTCCTGAGAACACCCCTGGCTGTCTGCTGCTGCCTGGACGCTGGGGTAAACAGCCAGGCCTTCCCCCACGACGGGCGGACCCCACGGCTACCGACCCCGGCTGCCTCTTCCGCCCTCCTCGCTTTCCTGTGTGGCTGCCTCCCACACATCCATGAGCCACCAAAGGCTTAGCTTCCAAAGAGGAACTAAGACCTGCAGCTTGCAGGAAGAGAAGGCAAGTCCACAGTCACAGGCACTGCCCCCACCCCCACCGCCACCACTGTGACCCCACCTGGCAACTCAGCACACAGCACCTACTCTGCTTCCCCTCAGACACACACACACACGCACACACACACACAGACTTGCGGCAAGAAGGCTGCAGGATTTCAGATGTACACGGTGCAAGAAAACAAACTGGCAAGTTCTATCACCCAAAGCAGGTCTCTTCCAAAGCACCTTTTATCTTAGGGTGGCAGGTTTTTTCCACGCAAACTTTCCCAGTGAGGAATTTTAAGTAAAACATGGGGAGGGGGGAACACCATTTCAAACCACAGCCTGATTAAAATTAATCTCCCGGACGTACTGAGAATGGTGACAAGGTGAGAGCCCAGAATAACTGTGCTGAAGAGTAACACACGGGCTCTGATGAAGTTGAGGCACAGACAGGAAAAGGCCAGCTTCAGAGTTAAGGTTTCCATATTCCATTTCAAGTTACTTCATCATAAACACAAAGCTGTGAAAAAGGAAAGAACAGACTCAAAGAACAAAGAGGGAACGGGGTTGAACTTCAGACTATACAAGGGTACCTCCAAAAGTTCCTGGAAAGATGAAATTAAAAGATAGGTTTAGGGGTGGGCATTGCGCTTAGCACCTAAGACTCTAGTTCAGATATCCCTATTTCTTATCAGAATACCTGGTCTCAATACTTGGTTCTGGCTCCTGACTCCAACTCTGTCTTCCTGCTAATGTAGATCCTGGGAGACAGCAGTGACCGCTGAGTGGGTTCCTGTCACTCTGATGGGAGACCTCGATTTGTTCCTGGCTCATGGCTTAGGTCTGGCACAATCCTGGCTGTTGGGGGCATCTTGGGGAGTCAACCAACAGATGAAAATTCATTCTCTCTCTGTCTCTCTATCAAAAATAAGTAAATGAATAAGTAAATAATTTCTTGAAAGATAAACTGGCGCAAAAAATTTTGAAATTATAAATACAAAGGTTCTTCAAAACAGGCATGGAGGGACTGGTGTTTTGGCACAGCAGGTTAACCCGCCTCTCGGGTCATTCACATCCTATATAAGAGTACCAGTTCAGGGGCCGGCGCCGTGGCTCACTTGGTTAATCCTTCGCCTGTGGCGCCAGCATCCCATATTGGCGCTGGGTTCTAATCCCGGTTGCTCCTCTTCTAGTCCAGCTCTCTGCTGTGACCCGGGAGGGCAGTGGAGGATGGCCCAAGTGCTTGGGCCCCTGCACCCGCATTTGAAATCAGGAAGAAGCACCTGGCTCCTGGCTTCGGATCGGCACAGCTCCAGCCATGGCAGCCATTTGGGGGGTGAACCAAACGGAAGGAAGACCTTTCTCTCTGTCTCTCTCTCTCACTGTCTAAATGTGTCAAATTAAAAAAAAAAAAAAAGAGAGAGAGAGAGAGAGAGAGTACCAGTTCAAGTTTCAGCTACTCTGTTTCCAATTCAGGTCCCTGTTAATCCACCTGGAAAAGCAGCAGATGATGGCCCAAGTACTTGGGCCCCTGTCACCTATGTGGGAGACCTGGATGGAGTTCTGGGCCTCTGGCTTTGGCTTAGTCCAGCCCCAGCCATGGTGGCTGTTTGGGGAGTGAAAAGGCAGATAGACGATTTCTCTGTCTCTGTCTCT